GACAAGTGCAATCCTGGGCTGGTAAATAAACCAAATTACTATGGATAGCATGTACATTTTATAGTGATTTTCTTTAGAGGGATGGACATCATAGTTATGCTATCACATCTGCTACAATATATTGAACAATTTACTACATAAATTACACAACTACATTTTTTCCTGCTGTGGATGTGTTCTGTGTTGTCTCATTTTGACGAAACTAGAGTAAAGCACAGAACGACAGTCCTTAATTGATATAGTTAATATTTTAATTTGCGTCAATTTTGTTTTGGTTTTTTAAGGTTTAATTCTATAAGGTAAACAGTAGATTTTTTGCTGGGCATATGAATTACTGTATGGAGTACTTAAGAAAGAAGCTTGCTTTGGACGGCTGCAGGTGCAAGCATTATTTATTTTTTTTTTTATTTCAGATATTTGTCTACCTATATTAATTTTTATACTGCTACCTTTCTTTTCTTATCGTTTTCTTTTTATTCCTTTCTACCACCCCTTCTATGCACTGTGCACATATTAATGTCACATCTCTCCTAAACAATTTTGACAGTTTCGAACAATAATTATCATGTACTTGGCATTACAGAGAGCTGGTTAACTTCTAATTTCGACAGCGATATTACCTCCTTCAATGGCTACAAATTTGTCAGGCAAGACCGCGTGGGAATTTTTGAATTATTGTGAAGACATTTGGATCGACTTCAGTACTGCATGTAACCAAATTGTATGTTTGAGCGATTTCAACATAAATGTTTTGGGTATAGATTCTTCAAATATCAGTTCAATGATATTTTAAATACCTTTTCCTCAAGTCAAGTGGTGTGTGTGATCCCGAGATAGTGAAGGATAACAACCATCGAGCCGCATAATCTTTATTATAAATTTAGGGCTTTAGATCGAATAAATCTAGCTCTGTTTCAGACTGACCTTGAGTCGGCGTCGTGTGACAACATATATCAAATAGATGACATCGGTCATAAGGTATCATTTTAACAGACACTATATTGAATATTTTCGATTCCCATGCGCTCCTAAAAGACTGCAATGATCGAAAAAGACATACAGTCCTTGGATCACAGATAACATTAAGTTTATGAAAAGGCTTCGAAATGAAGCTCTTTCTCGTTTTAAATGAACGCGGCAACCCTGGCCATCGAGATTAAGAAACCTGACCAAATCTGCTATTAGAGCCGAAAAAAAAGTTTCAGAATTGCTCAGAAAAGGAAAATGGGCTAAATTGAAGAAAATAAATATACTATAATAAATACAGCCCTGACCATTTAAGGAATGTTAATGAACTTATTACTAAGCACTTTGCTCAAATATCGCTAAATAATACTCCAAAACAAGAATTATTGTATTTCTATAACAACAACTCCTTGCTTAATGAAACCTCTTTAACCTAATCGACGAAGATTTTGTTTTAAATAGTATCCTCAGTATCAAGACGAAGGCTTTTGGCGCTGACAGCCTTAACATTACCGTGATTTCCTTGTGTTGCCCTTTTATAGTTCCATATTATAAATAGTTGTATTAAAAAGTCTTATTTTCCTAAAAGCTAGAAGTAGGCCAATGTTCTTCCATTGGCCAAGGTTAACAATCCGACAGAATTTGGTCAACTACGTTCAATCTCAATTTTACCGACCCACTTCAAACTTTCAGGTGAATATTTTTCTGTGTTCAGGGACTGAACAAACATCCACACTATATTCACAGCGATTAAGAAATTCCCAAATATATGCCTTAAAGCTACCAACAAACCTAAAACCTGCAAAAAAAAACTACAAATTTGCCATATTTTTCTTTTTCATGAGTACACATTCTAGGTTATATTTATATTAGGCATTATTTGAATACAGCTGATTATTGCATTTCAAGGAGTGACACATGTATGGGATCTGTCAACTCTTGGTACCAGTCACAAAACATATACTCTGAAGGTTTAATTCCGTGCTATTCAATGACAACACGGTTTTTTGTGTGGTTGTCAGCGGCCTTTTTGTGAGGGTGCGACAGGGTTGCCAGATTGTGCATTAATATCCCGTTCCACCCTCCTGGTCCCAGTGGAGTAAGTTCCGCCAACTGTTGAAATATACTCTAATATGCTTTATAAGACTATGACATTTATCCCAAAAGCATTGCACAACACTTGAAAAAATGCAAATGAAAATTTCAAATTATTTCTATGACGCCGCAAAATAGCTCCGTCGATACCTTGGGTTATACTATACATCTTGACAGTAGGGATGTTCGATACGATCCTATATTTATAAGTATCAATACATTTCACGAGTATCGTCATCTTTCGATCCGGACTGTGTCAGAAAGAGTGACTGCCATTTGGCTGCGACATTACCTTGCCAAATCAGACATATCTTTCATCATTTTCAAAGAAATTGTACAAAACCTTCAAATTTGTGAAGTTAGCGAGTTTCACTTCATACGTTGTTACAAGACATGCCCAAATCATCAGTTGCTGCCGTGATATTCATCCCGACCACTGCATCCCCACGGCTAGGCGACCTGTATGTTAAATTTGTATTGATAGGACAGCGGGTTATGCTATAAATCATATGTCACAGTGTTTGTGCACTGATTGCAACGGTTAGATGATGCTTATAATCATGATACCTAGTAAGTTATCACGAAAAAAATTCAAAACCAGTAAATAATGTAAAAGGTTCATTTTGCACCCTCCATCACGGGACGTGATAGTCGTTAGACTTGGCAACCCTGCGAGTGACAGATAGATATCCCCGCCAGTCGAAATGGACAAAAAGACAAACAATAAACATCACTAGTTTTTATGATTTTTGGACTTAAAAGACATTATTTGTGAAACATTTTTCATAATTTTTGTCTATGTCCATTATGCATCAGGGAGATGTAGGGATTGACACGTCTCACACATATTATCTGTGTTTTAGGATGGAGAGGACATAATGTTTTTATTGCTTTGAAGAAATTCATTAACCCATAAATTAATAAATGATTACTATTATGACGTAAGGGAAGATGAGGAATTGGATGGAATGTATTTTATATTCTATTTCTTGCAAAATACAGACAAATCCACACTATTCAACAGGTATGTAATGATAACTTTCAGTATATTGAAGTTGGTACATTCGAGAGTGCCATGCATTAACAAACGTCCAAATCTGCTGCCAAATTTAACAGCTAGAAAATCTACCTATTATATGCCGCATTCCCATTCGCTGAGGGGGATAAGGGATTGTTAAATGTAAACCTATAACATATATCAAACTACATGAAAGTTGCCCTGTTTTTTCTGTACAAAAGCATCATGTTGGAATCAAACAGTGGTCTTGTTTATAATACAGTCAAATTTTCACGATTTCATTCAATATTTCAATAGAAATCACTAATATTCAGAGACCTTTGACAGCTACTGTCAAATTGCATTTCGATAAAGTATTTTCCCATTGGTCCCTAATATTAATGTTGGTGAAATTGGGCCTTAGAGAGCCATAATCATGGTTACACACACGCTGTATAGAGGAGTCACTGCTGACGTTACGGGATGGGAAGACATTTGAAAATTTACTGCAGTCATATTCAGGTCAATAAAGGGCATTGGACTAAACGTGTGCTTGATGTGCTATTCTTTTCGAAACAATTCTGAGCATATGCTTTTTATCAAGTATGATATGCAAGAATTATTTATTGAATTTTGATAAAAACTTAAAAACATATTTGCTATCGTGGAAGTATACGTTGATGAAATGTTGAAGGCATTTTTTTTGTAAAGGCTTTTTTTGTCATATCAGGATCCGAACAATATGAACATGTTCACTTACTATTCAGTGGCTTTTCTGTATTGGCTCCATTAGTTTCATTGTTGTTTCATTGCATTCATTTTCCCTTTCCTGCTTACTGAATTTAGAACAAAGAATTGCTTATATACCCTATTTCACGAGTATCCATCACGGAACAATGACGGCTAGTTATCTAGTAATATCTCAAAATTCCCCATATCGACACAAAACACATAATTAATTCCGAGAGATCGGTGAACTCCAGGTAGACAGACCTGTATTTTGTTGTGGTTGGAAAGAAAATCTTCAAGCACTATGGCTGCTAATGACCATGACTACATTTCATGTCAGGTAGAAATAAAATAAGATAACCAGTTTTTGACTATACTAATTATACCTACTTTTAAGAACTTGAAACACCATATGACCTTAAAGGGCAATGTAACAGCCATAAATTTCGTTCAGAATATGTGGCAGTATATGATCGAGTTGATAGAGGTTCGGTTCCCTCAATTAGGTCTCGACATTGCCCAGGTAATTCTAAACAAGTAATAAAATAGAAAAATGTAAGTTAAATTTACGGCTATTGCAGGAAGTCATGAAATGTACACAACTTGGACAATGCAGTGTTCGTGAAAACAGGCATGGGCCGACTGTTCAGAACTCTGCAAAAATCCAAAGGAAGCGCAAAGGTCGCGTGGAAGCTGATAGTACTTGTGGGAGGGAAATAAGAAAGGTAGTTAATAATTTCTTCAAAGAGAGTGAGATATTCCATAAGGATATACCAAGTCGGCAAATTGATGCTATGCCATCATTACATATCGAGGAAGTGGGAAATTCCAGGACGTAACGTATATTTTATTTTCATTTTGCTGTTTGAGTGGTATGATGCATTTTATGTATCACAATAATATGGCATGGTGGTGGGTTGTTTTCGTAATTTTGGGTGAATGTATTAATTTTGATTTTGATGTGATCATTTATGTGCTTTTGATATTAGCTTGGCATGTAAGATTACATTTACACAAAGATTTGAAGTCAGTAACTGTAATGTGCGGCTTTATCTGCGTCCTTATACTCAGGAAGTCCAAAATTTATTGATTTCTTGAAATTCTTGCTTTGAAAATTAAGTAATTTTGAACCCCTTGGGGTAATGCATGTGGTATCACAAAATTTTCTTATTTCCAGTAATGATAGTTTCTTTTTGTAGACACAAGTGTGACATTTCCGTCTCTGCAGGTTGATTTGAGGGAGAATCAACTAACTCTTTTTTGGCGGAACTGCAGCTCTCCATAGGCTTATGACGATAACCGAAGGTACTTCATCGAGCAACCTCATATCTGCGACTTGAGATCATCTTTTTTAGCAAAGGACAGTGCAAATGAAAATCGCGATGGTAAAAAGTTGTCTATCGTTTTTCTGGACGAAACGTGGCACAGCCACAAAATCATGGCAGGATGGCACTGTACACACGTCAAAACAAAAAACTGGCGAACGCGCAAGGTAGTGTATTAACACAAACACGTTGTTTTGTTATGTTTTTGGTCGATTGTTTCCTCAGATATAGAGGTATATTAAAAATATTTGAGATAAATCATACTACATGCGAGCAGCAGCCTGGGGTCTGTATATGGGGTGCTTTGCTGTTTAAATCCAAGCTGAAGACAGGGGATTACCATGGAGAAAAGATTTCTGAAAATTTTGAACAGTGGCTCCAAAACCAACTCATTCCTAACTTCAGGCACAAAAACATAATTGTGCTGGACAATGCCCCTTACCATAGTAGACTGTTGAAAAGGGTACCCACGAAATCATCCAACAAAGATATGCAGAGATGGTTGGAGGATAAGAACATCCCATATGCTGAAAGCAGCACTAAAAGCGAGGTGTGCTAGATTATCGACCAACTTCCAAAACTGCAGAAGAAGTATATCGTGGATAATCTGCTTAAGTATTTTGCTTGCCTCCCTACCATTGTCATTATAATGCTATTGAGATGGTTTGGAGTCAAGCGAAGCGATCTTACGACAAGCACATTCTACAAGCAAAGGATGTGATGAAGACGTGGGAATCTGCTCTTGAATCGGTCACGCAAGAGCAGTGGATGCACTAAGTTGAGCATACACATATAAGCTCATTATGGCAGATTAGAAGCTTCAGAGGCGTGTTATTGAAAATCGTCAGCCATTCATTATAAATCTGGTTGGGTATGATGAGGATAGTGCAGATAGTTGTTTTAGTGACTAGCGCAGTGGTATTGCGTCTAATGGGTGCACTATCTCCACAATTACTTTGGAATGATTGTAAAAGGACACGTGTCTCTAACTATTTAATTTGCAGGTGGATGTATTGTGGTATTTTGTACAAGCTGTGTATATTATTAATTATTATTATACGTTCTGCACATACTTAATCTGTAATTGAAATACGTTATACTGATGTCGGACAATAAACCAAATATTACCTATACTATTTTTACAGGTAAATTTACTGCTTCTGTAAAGGACTACGCAGCTTGTTCTATTGGCATACCATGTAATCAATAAACCCCAGATGTACTCTAATAATTTTCTAATAAACTATTCTATATCTGTACTTGTACATTTTATTGTCACATTTCCCACCCATCTAAAAATATAATATGTGAACAACAGCTCTGAATACGGTCCCGAAATTCATTATTCCCAACTTTACAAATTGACAAAAGGATGTCGCTTATGTGAACAGCTGTTGACCTCAGAGCATGATTGATACTCGTAAAATAAGGTGAACGGTGATATAACCTGAAATAAAAAATATCGAAATTTGTTAAGGATACAAAATTTGGAAGTTTTTATTTATATTAATATATTATATTCCATTTTGATTCGAAAATAACAATTATCAATATTAAACTTTCCAATTAGTTAACTTAGATTTGTCAAAGTACAGTTATAATATACGTATACATCATTCTGTAAAATGTAGTTTTTGATTTTAAACTAGAAAAATCCTAATATTCCTATTCTAAATGAAATAATTCACTAAAACTGCTTTACTTGCTTAACCCATTCTAATAGTTCATTGGTTTTAAATAAATTGGTGTAATCAATCCAAATAAACGGCTTAATAGATTTGATTAAACGATTGCGATCTGATTTAGCTACACTAGTTTCATTCATTTAAGAAATGGGAGTTTAGTAAAACTAATTAAACTTGTTAGCTGTCACGTAGCTAACTAAATTTTTTTAATGGTTTAATTAAACTTTTAATTGCGGCAGAACTGCGGGACTGGGTACTGTAAATTCGAGGAGCAAAGCACAATAAGCCCTAGAGGCTGCAGTGGCATCGAGGACTTTGATCGGGCCGCTCCCGAAAAAGATAAACAAAATCCCTACTAATAAAAATAGTTCGTGACAGTTTTGCACTGTATTCTCCAAACAAAGCGATGTTTCGAAAACGAATTGCGTACAAAGAAGCGAGTGTTGGAATGTGAAATCTGCAAAATAAAATACTCTCTTAATAAACAGGGAGACCCGGACACAGCGAACACCCCAGGCAAACCGAATTTCCGTTGCATAGTCAAACCAAGAATCGGCAAATCAGTTGCAAGGGGAATCACGTGTATATTTGGCTATTAGACAACAACCAGTGTTTTACAACAAAGATATTGATTTTTCATGATACGTGTGCTCACAATCCTAATGTGTGCAAACTGCACTTAAAAGTAACATACGCATACGAGTAATTATAGCAGCCCAGGCTACAGAGAAAAAAATAGCTATTTCGTGTAAAAAAAGTTTATCAGATATCTGAAAGTTTTAATGACAAATACATAGAAAGTTACAGATATGCGTTGTGGTTTTATAAACATTGGAAAAAGCTCAAAACTCAGTACCTTGCTTGTATAATTTTCAAATTATACTTTATAAGTAATCGGTAAACTGGAGGCTTTACAGCATAAAAAGACCTTCAATTTCGTTTTTCTAAGAATGGAAATCGATATACAATTAAACTAAATACAGGGCTATCTTAGCAATATTGAATAAATGTTCACAACTATTGCAATAAAAATTGTAAAATTTGTGAGAATGGGGGCATCATTTTTGTTAATATGAGTGCCAAATTTAAATGGGATCAGGTCAATAGTTTGTGTAAAAAGCTTTATCCCAGGAACGAATTATTTAATCAACTGTTCTTCCCAAGATATGGTCCTAGAACATTTTACAAAAGTCAAATGGATGGCTTCAACTTCAAGTATTTACGCAAAAAAATAATCATTTGCTTCAAAATTGTTTTTTTTTTTATATCGAAACAGCCGCGCAGGCAGAAGCCTAAATGCCGGAACACCGCGGCGGCTATGATGATCCCAAAGAAATTTTGTTAATACGATTTTTGAACTGCCTAAGGTTAGTAGAACTGGGAAAAGCTTCCTCCCGTAGTTTGTTCCACAATCTAGACACCCTCGGGACAAAGGAGCGGTCGTATCGGCCAGTTCTGGATGTACGAAGTTTGACACGGTTAGGATGGGACGCCGAAGTCAGGCGGGTCTGTCTGGCAGGCACATCGCGCGGCGGCATCATGGAAGAGAGCTCTGAGGAGCAAAGCCCGTTGGTGTAGCGATAGAAAAGAGCTAGATCGCCGACGGCCCGCCGGTGCGAAAGAGTCCCGAGACTGTCTGTTAGAGAAGAGTCATCGATCAGTCGGACCGCCCTCCTCTGGACAGCATCGAGCATGGACAATGTAGTCGGGGCGGCAGCACCCCAAATGTGTGAGCCCGTTGTTAAAAATGATGTTAAAAAATAGCCATCTTTATAATTATAAACATTTACAATAACCCCGTTATTTTTGAGTATAATTTATTTTAACAAGTTGATCTGGATTGGTGGCTAAGTAAGGCATATTTTCAAAAAACCCTCTATGACCAGTAGGAGCCAGGACCATTTTTTTAAATTAATAACTCCTTCGTTTATAAACATTAAGACAGATTTTAAGCAAGGATCTCAGTTTTATCATACAATTTATAATTTTACTATTAGTCTTAAGTATATCCGGGTGAGGTGGTGGGGGAAACATTTTTTATTATCTCGGCTTCTAAGCAACGTAGAACCTCTTTTAACGCGCTTTTATTAGGATTATATACGGCAACACCGCATTTAACTCTGGCCAAATAAGAGCAGCACGTGTTTAGACGCCATCTGCTGTTCTGTGGACGCCATGTTTTTGACTACGTCTCTCTTTCTCTCTAGTATCATTTGCCTTGTCTGACTGTCTTTTCCTGGTATAACTACGCTTTGGACTATGTAGAAACAAATCGAATATGCTAGCAACACAGAGCAATGGCAACTACTCTTGTTTTTGTCCCAAAATATGGCAGAGAATACATTCATTACCGTGAAATGGTAATGCGGTTATTCTGTTTTTATGATCCATTGTCCCGGCTTGCTAGATTCCCTTTGTTCGGATGCACCAGCGACTGTTTATTAACGCTGTTCCTCATTATTCGCCGTGTTAGCCGGTAATGAATTTTCGCTTACTCTGCGTTATGTACGTTTGTGTCGCTTAGGTTTCCGAGAAGGTAGTTGATGGGACACCAATCCGCGTCGTCGGTAACTTTTGGAGGATTCAATGCAGTCATTCTAGTAGAGGCAAGAAATACATATATTTCTGAAGATCAATTTGTCAAGTTTTTTTTACAAACGTCTCCTCACATAGGTAAGCTACTTACGCATGTACGATGAAGATAGACATACGCCAGTAATACCGAGCGCTCGAACAAGTTCGTAATTTTTGATTTTAGAACTGCCAAGATAAGGTGATGCTGACAAAAACCCTCACAAAATGGACCATATCAAAATGTGTCAAGTTACTTTTACAAACCCTAACGGGGAAGTATTGTAATCGTGAAAATCTTCGAAAATGAGACAAGTAATATGATTTTTGGATGTTATATGACATGTGCATCACGAAACACCATGTCACTCATTTTCGTCCGTCTGTCTGTCCGCTAATCTAATAACGGCTTATAACTTGATAAGTACCGCTCGGATTTCGATGGAATTTTACGCAACGTAAGTACTATGTCAAGTACGCAGTTTTTTAAAATCGGTCAAGTGGCAGCGGAAATAAGGGCCAAAACCGACATAGAATTAAAACCCAGTAAACTTCGTTTTTTGACGTTTCAGAAGACAATGATCATTTCTAAAAAAAAAATGTTAGAGGTAAGAAAAGATGGGGTGGGATTGTAGTTAGATGGGTAGAGCTTCTCTCGTCTTTTTGATCTTAGGCCCGTATCGTCAGTCGTCCCTACAATTTTAGGGCGCGTTTATGGCCTCCTTGATGTATGTCCTGCTTTACATTTCTAGTTTGCTGTCAATCAGAAGTCAATTGTGATGTTAGGTTATGTTTCTTTTTTGACGTTTAAGAAATTTTAGACAGATGAATCAAATGCCGAAGGATATTTTCTTGCAAATAATGGTGATCATTCAATAATAATTTCCATTGAACAAATCCGTCAGGATGTGGTATATTCAAGTCCCATATCTGGTATTAATGATCTAAAATCAACAATATAATGCAAATGGATGTGTATTTATAGGTATATATTTGCCTTACAGCTTACAACCAATCTGTTCCTTGATTAAGCTGGTAAGATACAAAATTTTTAAACATTGCATATTCATATTTATATACTTATCGCATTTTTTTCAGATGTGGTTCGTTCTCACAAACTTTATGAGATGTTGGATAAGAAACATTGTATCCCAAGTGCAATTGCATTATTGATGTCAGAGATGGCTGTTCACAAATTATTGTCAGACTTTGGATTGCCCAGTGTCAGGCTAAAGGTATGTATAATGTGTAAATGCTCTGAAATTGATTTTAAACATGCCCTATCTGGTATTTTTTTATATTAGCGGGAACCTTAAGCTAAAAATTTCAGACTGTAACTCTAAAAAATATCATTATAAAATTATAGCCCACACCAAGGTGTAAACAATTTAATGTTTCTTGAATCTATGCATCTCTTTTGCAGATATAAACCACCGTGATATTGCATTCATGCATCCAGGCACTTGAAAGCATGTTTGAAGGAGCCAACCTTACTGATATAGATGAATTTTGCTTTTTGTGACTGACATATGTTACATTGCAATTTGTAAATTAAAGGTAGGCATAAGCCTTTATATTCATAAAAGTTAAAAGCTATTGAGCTCAAGAGGAGCTTTGTCCGTCCTGGGAAGGGGGTTCTCAAATGTCTAATGGTTAATGTTGCATGTGAGAGATAAAATGTCACACGAAACTCGATAAAGTGTCATCAACATTTCTATTTGACAAAATATCTCAATGCTGATGCCATTGGTTAAATAAGAATCCACTGATCTAGCAAAAATTCTATATGAAATACATATTTTAACACTTATGGTTATAACGGTATTTAGGAGAAAACAAGAAATCACCATTACTTATAATACTATTTTTTCAGATCTACTTGCATTGCTCAAAGAACATCCAATCCTGATAAGCCCAGGGTACAAGATATTGTTCAAAGACAATAACTCCAGTGTAAGGAACGTTATTAGAGAGAAAAAAAGAAGAGTCAACATATATTATATATATATAAAGAGAAAATTATCATGCGAAGAAAGGTATATAACAAAAATAGGAAAATAATGGACAAAATCCGCAAAAAGTGGATTCGAGCAAAAAATAGGATAGGTAACCCGAGCGATACGTATTTCTGCTGGTTGGCTTCATCAGGCCCGAA